AAGGGGCAAGTGACTCATCTCTCTTGATTTCTCCTTGATGTGACTGTGGTTCTAACGTGGTTTCAGGAAGTCTCAGCTGTGTTTTTGTCTGTTCTGTAAGGGTAGGTTACTAGGGGTGGTACCTTTGCTTTTTCTTCTAAGTGGAAAAAAGTATGTTTTCCTCACAGATTTCTAGGACGCACAGTATATGGTTTATTTGCTTAGTCCAGTGCCCAGCACATAGCGAATGCTCATTGGAGAAATGAACACGGCAGTTGTGACACGTGTTTACTTCCTTTCTCCTGCTTCATTCTCAATGTACGCTAGATATCTGCCCTCCTGTATCCTTAGAGTAGCTCTCAGCTGCAGCAGACCAGGGCCATTAGGAGGGCTTGCCATAATCTTTCCCAGCCCCCCAATATGTACTCTCTTCTTGTCTGAAATGTAGCAATTTGAGATTCAATTCTTTGAGTCTTGAAGGATATTTATAATTTAAGGAAAGTACAAATGTCCCTAACAGGAAAATCACTATGAATCATTGTCACAGTAATTTCCAACCTGGACTTCTCACTCCCCAGTGTTTTATAAAGGGCATAATATTGGCTGGAGAGCTCTTTGAAATATTTCAAAAACACCTAATGAAAATTGCCTATTTATTCAAGATAAAGCTGTAAGAGAGTAATTACAATATCAAGTTTCTTGGCTTTCTACTGAAAGGGTATCTACTCTATTGATTTGTTATGGCAGTTCTGGTTATTCCATGCTGACTGGATGATCATCTATACAAAGCTGGGAGGGGGGTTCATTATCATCAATACAGTTTATTTGATTGACGGCATCTTGCCAGTGGCTGTGTTCATGCTGTGGACCGTGAAGGGGTTTTTGGAGATATGGAGCATCATGTGCAACTCATGCATTTCTAGGGTTGGTTGGGCCTCAGACAGAGGGAAGATAGGAGGAGCAGAGAGCATTGTGAGGACACCAAAGATCAGCTTTGTTGGGCGGCGCTACTTTTGTTCAGGGCTGGCTTGAAGTGCTGGTGTTGCTGTACAAGGTGCCCAATCTGTCACCTCTCCGTACAATCCAGACCTCATCACACGCACTCCTAGCCGCAGAGATAAATGCTCCAACATGGCAAATGAACCCAGAGGGAATCGGAGCCTCAAGCCATGAAAAATGATGGCGACTATGGCCTACTTTCTTGCTTTGTAAAAGTCACTTGCACTTTTCTGGGACACAGCCCAAGTGATCCGCTCTGTAGAAGGGAGACAAGGGAGAATGCTGTTTGGAGAACAAAGGGCGCACTCTGGCCTCCAGCAGTGCTGGTTTTTGAGCCCTGACTCAAGAAAGCCAAGCTGGAGACCGTACATGAAACTTTGCTAACCCATTTACCTCCGTGGTGACTCAGAGGGCAGGAATGGTTGCTGGGGATTTTTGTTTTTGTGTGATGTTTCAAAGGAGTGATGTTTGGAAACAGATGTACTTAGTAAACACATCCTGACCTTCTGTGGCACTTGAAACCGCTACTGCGGGGTTGGTGCTTCTCAGTTTGTTTTGATAGGTTTTAATTTTGTGTTTCCAACCACATTGTGAGATCACTGGCATTAATTTATTTATAAGCAAGCCTCAGTTTTCTCATCTGTGAAATGAGGATAAAAGCAACTGGAGCTTTGCAGTGAGTGTTAGGGGCTCAGGGGTGGTTCTAAACCCTGCTTTGCCCCCTCGGTTCTTGCAGAACAGACCTCACTTCCAAAGAGCAATGTCCAATCAGGAGAGAGATGATCACTTTCTTAAAGAGCTGGGCAAGCACCTGATACCTACCTCCCTGCACCTTTGAGTGGTCTAAGCCTGCAGGCTCTCAGTACTGGTCCAGCCTGGAAGTTGATTTTACTTCTTTGGAGAAACAGGTCTCACCCAGTTTGCTTTCTATGTGGAGGGTGGGAATGCAAGAGAAAGCTGAAAAAATGTGCAAGGAATGTCCCCAAAGGGAAGTGGTCTGTTCATTCTTATCATTCACAAAACAAAACAGAGCAAAAAGGAAAACATGTCTTTGAGGTACAGTAATCCTGCACATTGAATATTTCTGGGTGTAACTAATTATGACAGCTACTTCTCCTGTAAGGAAAGACATCTAGAAATGGGGGAGAGAGAGGAATCGAAGGACCCACCATTGACAGCAAAGAGCTAAATAAGAAGACTGGAGCAGAAGTTGCATTCTAACCGGGAGAGTTAAAGGTGGATATTAGACTCCTGGCATACTCCCTGGTCCCTGGAAGGGCCTCAGGAGTGTAGCTGTCATTAGTAGTAGAGCCTTTGTCATTTCCAGATTTAATGTCCGTACTGTAAACATCAAGCTTTGCTGAGATGAAGTTTCCTACTTGTGCTTTTGTGGATTACTTCATTGAGAATCAAAACAATCACTTTACTGAGTATCTTCATTCAAACTAGTAAAATTGCTGTCCTTCATTTGCCCATATGGTTGGAAAAGCTGTAGCAATGCCTTCCCTATTTAAAAATAGGGCCACTGAAGTTTGTGCAATGCTTTAAAGCCTACACTGACTTTCCTCTAAGCTACTTGAGTCTCCTAACAACCTTGCAGAGCAGGGGTGATAAGGCTTCACAGATAAGGAAATGGATGCTGAAATGGTGTAGGCACCAGGCCAAGTTGAGACAGTAAGTGGATGAGGCGGGATGCAAGCCGTTGGACTCCACATCCAGTGCACCCTTACTGTGATCCATGATGCTTCTTCCGCTCTGCTATTGATAGCTTGGAAACAAGATGTGTTACTTTTCTTATCACTGCTTGATGGGGGACATGGTATGTAGCCTGTTCTGTTTCCCAAGAGGGTAAAGAAGATGGTTTTCAGCTTGTGGTGAAGGTTCACAGAAAGAAAAAAGTAAGAGGGATCCAGGACTGTCTTCAAACCTGGTCCAGCTGCCAGAAGAGCTTGGCAAGTGAGTGCACCATCGCTGAGTCAGGCCCTTCCTCCCCCACTCCTTGGATTTTGGATTGATTTTGCAATGACACTGGCAGCTCAGTGTATTTGCCTTGGCCTCTGAGCCATTCCAGCAATGATGATGGCTTGTCAGGGTCATGGCCCCTGTACAAAGCAAGGGCTATTTGTGGCAGATCTAAAACATAACTGGAGCCACCTGTGTCTGAGCCTGGCTTCGCAGGCTCTCGGGCCTGTAACCCGGCTGAAGTAAGACGTTCGTGTGGTTATATGTGGTAGGTACTGAGAGTAGCATCTTTTTCTTTAAGGTTGCATAATTGGAAGAACAAGCTGTCTACTACCCTGCCATATTTACCAGGCTGCTCTATTTTCATCCCATCCCCAGGGCCTGGAACGTTTCTCTTCCGTCTTTCTGTCTCAGGCTTACTTGCCTGAAAGACCCTGCCTCTCCATGGATTCTCCATCCCCAAGATGCGTGTAATCCAAATTGGTGTGTTATTAAATATCTGCTTGTGATGTTTTATGATGGTTGTACAGCCAGTAATCTTGACTATGCATTCTCTGGAGCCAGATACAGGGTCTGTTTTCTTTCCTCTCTCTCAAATAGCTAGGTGTGCTGGGTACCAGTGAAAGCTGCAAGATTCATTTGATAAAACATAACTGGGAACCCAGAGGTCTGTTTTTGTTACGTAAGGCAAATGCCTTCACTTCTCTCAGCTTCTCAGTCCTTATTTGTAAAGAAAGTTTTGAGCTGGTTGATCTCTAGGGTCCACTCTAAATCTAAATCCTAACACTAACTATAAGTCAATTAAGAGAGTGTACTGTCTTTACTATCTATATACCATCCCCACATTACAACCTGTGAAGCTGTCTTTGGCTTGTCATCTGCACCTATGATTTGGGGCATGTAACTTTATAATACTTACCTTCATATTACCAGAAGAAGGCATAACAGAGAATGAGAGAATTGAATAGTGTTGAGAAGCAGAGACTGGGGAGTCAGATGGGCCTGGGTTTAAACCCAAGCCCCACCACTGACCAGGTTACCTTGTTATTACTACCTTTCTTGTCAGGAGCACCAGCTTCACAAGGCAATAGAGATATAAGTGGGATAATATGTGTGTGGTACATACCTAGTGCCAGTTCTCAACAAACACAGTCCCAGTCATTACAGGTGTGTGTGTGTGGTGTGTGTGTGTGTGTGTGTGTGTGTATGCATGGGTGGGAAGGCACAGAGGTGTCTCTTCTAATTCCTCAGTAAGTGTTTTCTGATTTGTGCACTATCGAGTGTATTTTAAGACAATGCTTTTATCACCTTAATAAGCAGTGTAATGATTTGAGGAAAACCATTTCAGTTCTAATAAGAACACTAGCAGTACTAATTATGCACATGATAGCATTTTAATAGAGTTCTATAATTTATGGAATTGGGAGAGACTTACAGAAACATGGGTTGACTCTTTGGAGTCTCAGATTTCTGGTGAGTGATTCAAGCAGTTACTCCTGCCTCCTGCCAGTATAAATAAATCAGACGTAAACCTTTGCTTCTTAACCAAATTGTGAAAAATGGAACAAATTCAGTTATAAGAAACTATTTTAATGAGACACTCCATTCTTGAGGTGATTTGCTAAGGAGAGATTCTTCAGTTTGTCCCTGAACTGCCAAAAGCAAGAGAGCCATTGTTACCCTTGCCTCGCTTTTTCCAGCCACTCTGTGTGTAAGTAACTGTAGCCTTCTTGAGGATTAAAGTTGGGGGATGGCTTCGTGATCTAACCAGTTGAGAATAAGGAAAGACTTAGGGTCTGAATCAAAATTTTCTCTGAAATGCTGGGAAAATCGGTGACTAACCTTGGGTACCTAAATCTTCCCACCTGAAAAAAAATGCATTGGCGGTGAGATAAACAGCCTGGCTTTAGGGAATGAGAACTGGCTATAGCAAGGAAGTAAAAGTTAGGATGATCCTTTTCTGCTTACGTGAAAATCATATATGTTGAGTGAGTGTTATCTTTCAAATAACTTCTGGAAGACAGACTCTAGGTTCTTCTCTCTCTCTCTCTCTCTCTCTCTCTCTCTCTCTCTCTCTCTCTCTCTCTGTATTAGCATGGAACTGAAGTACAAAGTCTTGTAAAGAGTTCCAACACACAATGTCTCTAAGAATGAGAGAAAATAATCTGATCAAAATGATGTCTTTTCACCAGTGATAGGTGAGCTAGATTTGGGACTTCAGATCTCCCATGTTTTATCTTGACAACTTATGTTTAACTGAGTTTTATACTGAGTCTCAGCATCAGAAAGAATGACAGAAGATAAGGGAGAACCAGAAAGCCAGGTTTTAAAATAAACAATCAGAGAGCAAAAAAATTAATTGAAATGGCACACATGCAGGGGAAACATAGCTAGCGAAGAAATAGCTTTTGACTAAACAGGACAGAGTGAGACTTCAAAGAAGTATCTTGTACCCATCAATCCCGCTGGGCTATGCAAATGTCTCACAGACTGATGATCTCTGGGGAAATGTGTCATATCAGCCCTCCAACAGGCCCAGTCTGCTGGGCCCAGCCAACATACCACACTGTTGGGATGATGGATTTTTGCACTACACTTACCCATTTTCCTCTGATTTGTCCCCCTTTGTCAGGAGCAGAGGGAAAACTCCACCCTTCGTAGTGAACCTTTCGGAGTCTCACTCGCCCGCTCTGAAAGCACCAGAAAAACAGAATGAGCAGGCAGCATGTGCTCAGTTTTTCCTTAGATTGGCTGACCAGCTCTTCCTATGGATGCCTATTTAGGATTTTTGTGCTGCATGGGTACACTATCTCCAATGACTCTTTCAGCCAGAAGCCTAAGGAGTGTCAAAAGTGAGAGGAAGTCTGTTTGTCTAGTGTGGTAGGCAAAGGCCAGTACTAATTACTAACTTTGTTAATAGCCTTCTCAACGGTCTCAGTTTTGCCAGATGTAAAGTAACAATAATAATGATGCCTCTTTGTTAAGAAAACTCAGTGGGTGAGTATTTGTTAAATGCTATTAGCACTGTGCCTGCATAAAACCTAAACAGGTACTCAATGAAAGTTAGTTGAAATCATATTAACTATTCTGAGGAAAAGGGTTAGTGGACATTTTGGATCTGAGATTAAGAAAAATAAGATTCATTTTGGGAAAAGTGAGGACCAGAGAGAAAACGAGGCGGAAGATTTGTGAGTGTGAGACTATGAAGGATGTGAGCAGATCTTGGTCCTTAAATGTTTTTAATTCCTTATTACAGAAATAGCCTACAAGGGCCGGGGATATAACTCAGCGGCACAAGCACCTGCCTGGCAAGCACAAGGTCCCTAGTTCGATTCCTAGTCCCACAAAAAAAGAAAAGAAAAAAGGAAATAGACGACAGCAGACAAAATAAAGGAAAAAGAACCCATGCATTTTCAAGACTGTGTGAGCATGGTACAAAGGGGCTAGCTATGAGGCAGAGATATTCAAGCTTTCAGTATCATTCTTAGTTACTTCCTTCAACCTACATTTGCCACCAAATCTATATTGTACCTTGATATTATAGGTAAAAGTGATCCACTCCCTACCCTGAAGAAAATGAAAGGGGATAGCAGGTAAACAGCTAGACTATAGTTAGAAAAGTTCCTAAGTGACCAGTAAGAAGACTGGAAAGGTTTCTTCAGAGTTGATGCCTGACATTAGATGAATAAGAGTTACCTAGTGAGGGGAGAACAGTATTCCAGGTAGGGGTTGCTAATGTGCAAAAGCATAGATGGCAGAGAGTGTGCGACAGTCTTTGCTAGTGACAACATCTGAGTCATCTCAGGTGGATCTCCACTGATTTTCTGTTTTCTTAAATATGGGCTCTATTTTTTATAAGTCTAGCAATTTTTGGATTGTATTCTGGACATAGTTATTTATTGTAGAGTCTATGGGTTCTGTTATTTTTCTCTGAAGGGTTTATTTTTCATTTTAGCAGGTATTTAATTGGATTGAGCTCAAACACCTAACTCTGTCTCCTGTGAGATGAGTTGAAGCTAAAATTTCCAATCAGTTCTGTTAATCTTAGCTGAGTTGTTTGGAGTGTGCCCATGTGTTTGTAGTTCGGGTATCAGACAAAGATTTGGATGGTATTATATGCAGAATTTGGAGTTCCCTTTGAGACTTTCTCTTGGTGGTATTTTCTGGCTGCCCCAAACTTTATCTTATGATTCTGCAAGTTTCTACCTAATTCCAGTTATTCCACATGGTGTGACTGGGTCTTATTCTCAAGAAAAAAGCTTTGAAACTCACAAAACTTATCCAGTGCTCCCTTCGAGTTTCCCTTCCTAGTGCACACACAAACTTTATTGCTCTGTAGCACATACACAAATACTTACTTGAATTTTTTGTTAAGTACTAGTTTTGTGCAGAGGATAGGTCTCATAGAAGATATTGGGAGAAAAAGTCCCTCAAGGAGTATTTCAAGAACTACAAGTCATTCATTCTTGTTAGAGGAGAGTATGTGTTTGTGTTGCAGAGAATCAGAAGGACACGTACGGTAGCTTAGCAGAAGACAGAGCTGAGATTGTCAAGAGTCTTGGGTATTATGCCAAGCAATGTGAATATTATCCTTAATGCTGTGATGGAGAGCTGTAATCAAGAATAACATGATCAGAACTGTGCCTCAGAAACATTGGCTGGCATCTATGGGAAGGATGAACTAGAAGGGATAGAAATATAGTTAGGAGAGCGACAAGTCCAGTTTTGTCCTCTGTAAGAAGAAGGATTGAACTAGCTGATCATGATACCTGCCGCGGTCTGGCCACAGCAGGTCCGGAAGATTCCTGCAGGAGGGAACAACCAGGCAAAGAGACAAGCAACACAGACACCAGAGGTCCTTATGGTGGGGCAGGGGAGCAAGGCTCCTCTGACACAAGAGAAAGGTTTTTTGCTTTATTATATACTTTTGCAATTACATATGAAACTCTTAAATACAATGCGATTTCTATTTTAGTTACTGATTCAGACATGGTTGACCGACTGTCTGACCGCAATCCTAGCAGGTAGTCAACTTTTCTAAACCACATAAAAGGAAGCAAAAAGATCAATCACCAGGTGTTCTTGATTAGGTATAATTTTTCAAAGAATTGTTTATCTGTCTACTGGACAACAGGTCCCACATTTACAATATGTCCTCTGGAGACAGTCCAGCACACACAGGGCCTTCGCCTAATGTTTTCCCATGCATTGAGGTTTGCGCAGTGCTCCCCTCCTGTTCTGGTGGGTGAACATCACCACACAGGAGGTAGGAGACTGACACAAACCTCTGTGATGGCTTCTGTTTCCCCTTTCAATCCTTAAGGGGTGCCTTTTGTCCTGGGCTCTGATTCCTTAACTATTTTTAGTTCTGATCCTTCAGGTCCCCAACCATCCTTTATTGATAGCGCAGTAAATATCTGGAAAGCTATGATTAGCATAGTATGATTAGCATAGTATGATTAGCATAGTATGATTAGTAGAGAGTAGAGAGAGGCCACACACCCATCCTATGTGGTCCCTGCTTTGCAGATATCCATTGCCAGTTCTGACTGTGTCAAGGAACTGGCACTGGAAGGTCTCCAGCAAATACCCACTGTGGCTCAGATGTTCTGATCTTCCCCCTTGAATGCCAGCACTTGGCCTTGCTGGAGCCGGGAGTTCCTTCAAGCGTGTGTTTTGCAAAGTGCCATACACAGACATATCAGCCCAAGCTTTAAATGATGCCATTAGAGAAAAATATACTTGGTATTCTATGGCTTATGACTAAATTAAGGTAACAGGTGCACAAAGCAGTACATGAACACATCGTAGGTGGTTAACAGCTTTTGATTTCTCCAGCTCTTGCTTCTGACTTCCTGTGTTACAACAGGTATTTGGTCATTTTGTGAGTACTATTATTCTGGCTTTGATTTTTTTTTTTTTAGTTCTCAGAAAGGAGATGGGCCCTGTAGGCCCCCAGTGGTAGGGCCCTCTTATGCTGGGGTTACAGAAACTGGAAAGGGTAGGAGTACATGTGCCACAGTCCTCTGAGAACCGCAGGGGGTGGTGACAGCAGTGTGAGGGGGGTATTGATTTCATCCTTTACTGGTTCTGTACCAGCAGGAGAGTGAGGCTGCCTCAGCCTGAGGATACCTGCCCCCTCTGAGGCTTCCTGGAGAGCAAAGCGATCTGCTCTGCTCTGCTGTGCATCCGACTGGGATGACTCACTGGAAATCAACACCCATCCGTGCTGGGAGGGGAGTCCAGGGCCCCGTATCTCACCTTCAGCATGACACACTTGTGTGTGCTTTGCCTTGGTGGGAGTTCAGGTCTTTCAGTGCTTAAAGGGAGCTGGATGTGCTGCGTTGGTAAACTGATCCTACATCCAGTCCCTGAAATGTCAGGTTTCAGGAGCTGGAGGGGCAGCAGCAGAATTCTTGTGTCTGCTGCTTCCGTGCAGTTGGAAACTACGTTTTTTTCTCTGGGGACTGCAAGGTCTAATGTGGCAACTGGTGAATTACCTTGTTGGCTTTTTCTTTCAGGGAACGTTATTTTCCTCAGAATCGACTAAGTGATTATCTTATATGGCTCTCAAACTTTTTTCTGATCTGCGCCAGTTTGGAGTGCAATGGTTCTACTATTTACTAGGCATCTGGGCTTGAGCTGAGGACACTCAGATGACTCAGAGGGTCCTTGTCCTCAATGAGGTCCTAGTCTGAGTACCTGCTCAGGCCTTGTCCTTGGCTGTGTGACTCTCTGCTCTGCAAAGTGAACTTGTAAGCATGATGTACCTTTACATATTTCTTTTTTCTCTTTCACATTGTGGTCACCAAATTGGATTTGGTGAAGATATTAAGAAGCTGATGAATATGCTTGTGGCATGTGACGTTCAGGTCAGAGCAGACTGGATTGCAGGCCTCTGCTTTATTTGTTCTGGTAGATTTGAGCTTGTGCTTGGCTTTCTGTGCTACCTGAGTGTGGTCTGGGTGCTGCTTTAAATCTGTCTGTCCCTTCCCTGCCTCTGCCTGAAATTGATGTAGCTCACAGGGTTCAGGTATTGCCTCTGGAGTTTTATTTATGAGGGCCTTTGCATTGGAAGAAGTTGATTGAGGAAGCACAGTAACTTATCTGTGCTATTCCATCCGGGAACTGTGGACAGCAGAAATGGGAGGTGGGGGTGAGTTTCACAAGGAAGGGAAGAAAAGAGGGAAGGAAAGAGAGAAAGAGAGAGAGAAAGAAAAGTGTTTTGGTAGACTCTGTTCCAAAACTACCTTTTTAACTCTTTGTCCCCCACACTTAGCCTTGTGTTTGGCACATAGTAAATGCTCAGGAAATGAAAGCCCCAGGTCTAGTTGCAGCTGGCCGCTAGACTTGTGAATCTCAGCCCTGACTATAGTCTGGCCATGGCTGAATCACTAAAGGATTCTTTGCATTTGTGGATAATGGAATTTTCTCGCAGTCTCAGTCTTTTAAATGTGGCTTCTGCACCACCAGGGCTAGGAGAACAGGGGAAGCTTTCCCAGTGTGGGGGGCAAGCAGATCAGACGCCTGCTTTTAGGGGGGGAATCTGTTTTAGAATGAGAGAGGCAGGAGCTGAAGCCTGGCCTGAAGAGAAAGGCGGGGCACTCATGCTGCCTCGTGCCGGATTGACAGCCAAGCCTGCTGCAGAACTGGGTCTTGGCCCAGGATGGAGAGTATCTACTAATGAGGCAAGTGACTTCAGGAAGATCAAAATAATTAGTTTTCACTGCTAATGTGAGTCACTATCTTAAAGACATTCTGTTCCAGCTGGAGAGTTAGGGGGTTGAGGTAGAAGACTCCCGGTTCCTGCTTCCTGGGGGACGCCAAGCCTGCCTGAGCGGTGAAAACTGGTGGAGGATGGAAGGAGGCCTGAGTCTTACTCGAGTGCCTGCCCTCTTTCTTCCCATGTCCAGTGGGAAGGAACATGAGGGACATGGCACACCCCTTGAGGTGAGGGTGGGTCACAGTGGACTGCTTGGAGGCACATGGATGGTTGGGCAGAGAAGAACGCAGCTTGCACTGATCACCAGGCCCTGGATTTTTGGAGAGGACTTATGGAGCATGGAGAGGATGAGTAGTCTCCTAAGAAGCCTGCCAAGATGAGCCCATGGTAGAAAAGCTTACAGACAGAAGGGCTTCTCTGTCATTTCCTAGATAGGGGACCTTAGGGGCATCACTTCAACTCTTTGACCTTCTCCCACCCTGACTCTGCCAGACTTTTTTTTTTTGTACTAGGCCTTGCCCGGAGCTCAATTCCCAGCCCTTTTTATTATTTTACTTTGAGGCTGACCCTCCCTAAGTTGCCCAGGCTGACTTTGAGCTTGTGATGCCCCTGTCTCAGTCTCAAGTAGCCAGTCCAGAAATATATACATACATATATATATATATATATATGAGTGCCTGTTGAGGGTTGCAAACGCTGAAAATTCAAGTGACAAATAATACAATCAAGGCTGACATTGTAGTAGGAAGGAAAAAGAGAAATAAGGCAAACAAGTAAGATTTTCAAATACTGGGAGTATTTTGAAGATAATTGAGTATCGAGGTAGCGAGTGCCTGGGGGTCCCAGGTGTGTGTCTACTTTAGGCAGGGTGAGAGGGCCTTCTGTGTGGGCTCTGACCCTGGGATGAACAGCCTCTCAGTGTAGGGCTGGGAGGAAGGTCATTACGTAGCGAGGGAATATCAAGGACAATGGCCCTGAGGTGGGCAAGACTGGTGTGCAGGTGACAGAAATGCCCCAAGCAAGCCTGGTCTCAGAATCGCTGTGGCTTATGAGCAGAGAACACACTCGTGTTGTGTTAAGCCTCCTCAGTGCTGGTGTTTGTTACAGCAGTTAGTGCCCCCTAATACCTTGTGAATCACTGGACTAGCGGTGTGGGAGATCTGAAGCAAATGTGGGAGCTCGAGCCCAGGCGAGTAAAGCTCATTATTACCTTGGCACTGGGAGTCCAGGAGCGAGCCAAAGGGATACTCGTCTCCACCCGAAGCTCGCTCTTCCTGCTGGTCTGAGCCAGAGGCTTCTCCCTCTGTCACGTCAACTCGGAAGACAGTGATTTCAGACTCTTGTCATGTCACCAGGAGCTCTTGGTCCTCTAATTAAGTGGTAATGTGCTTGTCCAATAAGTACCATATGGTTGCAGTGAATCAAGACCAAATTATCTTAGCTTTAAAAATTAATGTTAGCAATGATGACAGTAACAGCTCACATTTCGTCTGCTTTTCTTCTGAAGAGCTCAAAATGCAAGTATGAAAAGAAACGTCCAAATACTCTACCACCTATACCTTAGGAAGAAATGAAGGTGCGCAGAGAAGTTGGAGAAATGGCTGCAGACTGTAAGGGAGGTTTGAATCTTTCTCTTGTTTTTATTTCTGATCCCATAAAGATAGTTAATCTTTCCTAGCAATAAACCAGGATAGTGGCAGGATTAGGGAAATGGGATTAGCTCAGCGCCACACTAAGGGGATCGAGCACAAATAAGCGACTAAAGGTAATTAAATAACACAAACCACCGGGCTTGGAGACAGCCGGAATAGCCTCCCCCGATGAACCTTGTCCCCGGGGAGAGAGGATGTGGGTAGGGGTAAGGACCATAGTAGGAGGAGAACGGATGGCCTTGTCTGGGACTTTGCCGGGCTGGGTGCAGCAGGTGACAGCAGAGTGAATGAGAAATATGCAGGAGGGGGTGCTGAGTTCTGATGGTAGCGGTGCTTGAGGACAGGAGCCTGGGATCTGCCTAAGAGAGCCGGGTTTAACATAAGTGAGGAAAAAGGGCAGGGTGACAATGTGCCCAGGTGGAGGGCAGGATGACAATGTGCTCTCACAAGGGACAGGTGACAGTGTGCCCAGGTAGATGGAGAGATGACATTATGCCCAAATAAAGAGCAGGATGACCTCGTGCCCAGGGCACCCAGGCCAGACGGCAGTGTGCTGAGGCAGCGCGTCCAGATAGAGGGAGGAGTGACCGTGCGCAAGTCCCGTATTTAGGAGCAACGACAGAAAAGACCAGGAATTTCCATGCGTGGTCCTCACATAGGACCACATCTTCAGACTCAAGATGCAGTCGCTGACCCGGGGAAGCCAGCGAGCGTGGGCATGTGCATCTGAAGGGAGTGTTAGAGTCACAGAGCCTTATAAGTCACAGACTTCAAGAGATGCCAGAGAAACTACATAGAGTAATATTTGGTCAGTCTTCCAGTTTTCATTAATGTTTTATTCAACAGATATTAATGAATAGGCTGTTATGGGCTTCCTTAGCCCTACAGACCTGATAAATAAGATGATGTTATAATTTATCCTCCAAACTGGACCACATTTGAGAAAGAAAGGAGACACTTTTAATGAGGATGTGGAGACAACAGACATGTGCAACTGGTCAGAAGAGCTGGGCTCTTTGGTCACCCCACTTGTGATCCCTGAGACATGAACCAGCCCATGTGAAGTAAGGCACAGCGAGTTGGTGCTGCATGTACCAGGCGTGTTTGCACCCTGGTGCCCCTCTTCTGCCAAGAGTGGGACTTGCTTCCTCCCTGGCCAAACCCATCTCCTCGTCAGACCTGCTCATTCTACCACTGCTCCAACCCCTGGGTGGGTTTGTGACTTAACTTGTCTGTGCCTCAGTTTCCCCCTTAGTAAAATGGGGATAACCTAGGCTGAAGTGGACAAATATGGATCTATACACAGTGCCCAATGCACTGGGTGTTGTGATTAGCTCCGTGATTTGGTAACGGCAAGTTACCCAATCAGCTTCCACATCCGGGAAACAGGGAAAATAGCACTTGCCTTTTAAGGACCTGGAATTCAGGAAAAGTTATTTCCCCCAACCTCCCCGTCGAATCAGCATCAGACATCAAAGGATGAGCTTTAATATTTTCCATGTGAGTTCACAGATTTACTCCACAACATAGTTAGATGTGGTTAAAGGGAATCTCACTGAAGTGACAGAGGAATTACCCCAGAGGAAGGAAGCGGATGAGAAGGACACATAGCCTTACCCAGAGGAGAAAGGGAGGAATCCAGACGGGTAGAGGGCTGGTCTTCCACATATGCTCAGGCAAGAGAGAACCTTCGAGGAGCGCTAAGTATCTGGCCTGTGTCTCAGGGTGAAAACCAGAGCTTTCTCTCACCTAAGGAGATGAACCCTTCGGTATATGCACAACCATAAAATTACCAACTCTTCTTCTAGTATTTGACCTCCAGCCAGAGTGAGAGGGTGCACAGAACTGTTCTAGGTACTTGGAACTCTAGTATTACTTCATTAAATTCATCTATAAAATAGGAAGTTATATTTAAAAATATGTTTTATAAAAGGACATTTCTAATATAATCAAAATAGAGAGAGTGGGAGCACATTTCCCTATCTCTGTCTCCCCGCTCTGGACCCAGGAATCCTCAGCACTTGCCCATTTGTCTTTCCTCTGTTTCCTTCCATACTTTTTTTTTCTGGAGTTTTTGAAAGCCACTGTGAACCATTATATAGTTTCATCTGTAAGTACTTTAGATGCATGTCTAACAGACAAATATTGTTTTTTAAATGGTTACATTGCCCAGATAATAAAACCAAAACCCAGGGGCTCCTTAATACCATCTCATTCTCAGATCGTATTTAAATTTCCATATTACCTCAAAATAGCTTTTGACACTTTGAATCAGGACCCTAAGAAAATCTGCACACAATATCTGCTTGTATGTATTGTGACTCTCTTTTGGTCTCTAACGGCATCCCCTCCCACTGGAAATGGCATTTATTTTTTGAAGAAACTGGGCCAGTTGTCCTGTAGAATAGCCTACATTTTGATTGGGTAGATTACTCCCCCACTTGGTCATTTGATTTGTTTCTCTATCTTCTATACTTTCTGCAACCTACAGGTTAGATTCGGGTCCCATTTTTTTGAAGGGAATGTCAAGGCTATTCTAACGGGGCTCTGTTCTTCCTGTTGGATCTCACCAGGAAGCTCTTCTAGTAGTGCTGAGTCTCATGAGTGGGCTAAGGGATTGTCTGCTTTAGCCCTCATCTGCCAGAGAGTACACTACTAACCTTCCCCTGATGGCTTCAATGTCCATGGGTGATTGTTGCCCGGAGCCATTATTGCTTTTTTATTCTATAGAGAAAAGAGCAATAAAAACAATGATACAGAATTTCAAAACACGATAATGGGAGATTAACAATGGCTAATATATTAGGGCTTGTAGAATTTTTATTTTTTGATTCCATCATTCCTTTTGCATTTAGTAGATGGACTTCTCCTATAAAAAAGAATGTTCCCTCGTCAACTTGTGGGTTATCCTGAGTTACAGTTTGACAGGCGAAGCAAAACAAATGCCTTCCCATCTTTTGTGTCAGTTTTCAGAGGAATGAGTTGATGCCTGCTATAACTTGTGTCTAGATGACCCCCAAAACCTCATGCAGTCATAGGTGAGATTTTTTAGAGGTGGCTGGATCTAGCATGTGTGACACTGGGATTGATTTATAGTGCAATGCTAGGATCAAGGGTACTAGGATTAAGGGTGGGAGTGCTACTCACTCTAAATCACCTCGATAAGATATGAGATAGAAAGAATTGCAGTCATCCCTTGTTGCTTTGCTACATTCTGCCCACTATGAACTGTTTCTTCTCTGTGATACTACCCTGCCTTGAAGCCAGCTGATTATGGACTGAAATTTCTATAAACTGTGAACTAAATAAACCTTTCCTCCCTTAACTTTGAGTATTAGGTATTTTGTCTCAGCAACTAGAAAAGTAACTAAGACAGTGCCCTAGCAAAAGAGGATAGAGCTGTAATGAATGCACTAGACAAATATTTATGGAGTCCCAACTATATGCAAGGCATTGCTCTAAAACCTGATGGCTTAACAGAGAACACAACAATACAAATCCCTACTTTCTTGGAACTTACATTCTAGTGGGGGAAGACAAAAAACAAAAGATTGTATTTTGAGTTTGATGGTGACAAAGGCTGTGGGGAAAAGTATAGCAGAACAGGGGCATAAGGATTGATGACTGATGGAGGGGAAGGGATTTGGGCTTAAAATTTTAAATGGGATCAAGAGCTGTCATGAGAAGCCCAATGTCTGAGGAAGGTGAGGACCTGACGGAGAGGAGCATGCTGGCAGAGGGCCTTGGGGTGGTGCCTGGCTGGGTCCACAGAGAGGCCAGTGTGGCATGGAGTGGGTAAAGGGGAGTTAACACGAAATATGGTGAGAGTGTTGGGGCAGGGGCAGACCCTGCAGCATCTTGTGGACCATGTTAAGAACTTTGGTCTTCCCTTACATGAGATGAGCAGGGGCTGGAGGATTTTAAACAGGGGTGTGACATGATCTGCCTCGTGTCTTTTGAAGAATTTCTCTGACTCTTTGGGAGGGAGGATTAGGCAGGTAAGGGCACAACTGAGTTTAGAATTAAGACTAGAAAACCTCCAACCTTAGCGAAGCTTCCTTTCTCACCAGTCAGCACCTGGTACAGGGGCAAAGAAGGTGCTTCGTTGTTTGTCAAGGAATGGGTGCAGTTGGCCAGAAGTCAGACTGCAGAAAGTACTTCCCTCTCAGCTTTTTCCTTGGAACTCCTAGGCATAGAATTCTTCTCTGCACTGATGAGTACTTTATGACAAAAAATTCCAGGGTGGAATCTTTCCTCCCCCAGACACCAGAAGAATGACTCCAAAGTCATCACCCCACAGTAGTGGAATTACATTTCATACGAAAAGTGCGGTGCACGGGCAAAACACCACTACTTGACCATCTCCTTTTATGGCAGTTACATATCTGCTGGAATATCTTCATCATTGCTAAAGAAGTATTGGCGAATTAGGTACATCCAGGGCGAATTTCTATGATTCCAGAACTAGGTCTGTCTTTGTCATGGGATAGGCCATCCATCTATCTCTAAACAGTTATCAGGGGGACCATGGCAAGGGTTGGCTCACCCTAAAAGATGACTGATGCTTTGAGGTGCAGATCAGCCATGCGCCATTTCCTCTCCATGTGGATTTCCCCATGAGGTTGGGACACACCTTTTCATCCAAGCAGCCTTTTCAGCATCTTCAGAGCCTCTCTGTGGGTGAGCATGTACCTCTGCCTATCATAGGCTGCTTGTGCATCTCCCCATGAGGTTGGGACTCACCTTTTCATCCAAGCAGCCTTTTCAGCATCTTCAGAGCCTCTCTGTGGGTGAGCATGTACCTCTGCCTATCATAGGCTGCTTGTGAACCTCAGGGTGCTTAACAACCAAGACTGGGTGTGCTACAAGCAGCCTCGCTCCCTGTCAAGTAGCTGTTCTCCCTTGCTCACCTTCTGTCCTCTGGGTTGGTGTATGCAACGAAAAGAACTAGGATACGCTCAACTTAGACAGAGATGTTTCTAAGTATAAAATCTAAACTGAATCTAATTCAAGCGGATCTGGTCTCAAAGAAAGCTTGTAAGTGTTCCTTCTTGTCCTTCCTTGTCATCATTCCTGGTGCTCCTCTAAAACCTTCTGAGCCTCTTTTCCGCAAGCCTTGTATGAAGATGAGACCAAGAAAAGTGAGGAGGGACCCAGGCTGCAAGCTTCCTCTCAAACTGCCAGTTCTGCAGACAAAAAGGAAGGACGTAACGAAGGGAGCAGATTCTCTAAGGCAGGGATATTATGCCTTGGAGATGGACTTTCAGCCTCTAATTAAAAGGAAAGTTACTTGCTGGAGGAGTGGCAAAACTTTCAGTGTGGCAGTTGTCCTCGGTGGCTTTCAGTTCTCTCCGTTTAGCAGGAGGGAAGTGGAGACCTCATGCCAGAAGATGCATGGAGGAAGCATGTGCTGTTGGAGAGGGGAGGGCGCTAGCATTTACCAAGTGTCTGCATGGGCCAGTGCTGTTAGCTATTTTTCTTAAAAGACTGTAGGAGGCATGAACCTTACTTTTTTGCGTGGGATGAACCTAACTCAGAGTGATGCCATGTGTAGGATTATGTTCAGACAACTCGGAGAAGCACGACGGCATGCCAATTGCTCAGTTGGACTCTGAGCATTTATCTTGTGGTATGAGGACCTTGTGTCTGGAAAGCTGGGCCCTAAGACCTGGGTCTGGGTCCCTCTTGGGGGTGTCACGTATAACCATAAACTTCTTTCTGTCCCTGGAAAATGCCTTCCTTCCCCAGACCCTGGGCAGACCGTCTGACTTCCTTCATGACCTGGTGTCCACCAGGATGCGTCCGGGGCTTCCTCAATACAAGAATCTTAATAGGACCTTTGGGCGTACTTTTTTCTTTTTTCAAGTGAATTCCAAAAGGTTGTGGGAAGAAACTGGTTAGAGCAACCTGACACAGATGGTCTTCCATGTAGGAGGTTTGACTTATGATTTTTGACTTTATGATGGTGTGAAAATGATACACATTCAGTAAAAAACCTTACTTCCAATTTTGAATTTTGATCTTTTCCCAGCCTAGCAGTATGCAGCGGGCTGTGTGCTGGGGAGTGGCAGTGAGCTGAGGCTGCCTGTCAGTTCATGATCAGGAAGGTGAACAACTGGTACACTGCACGGTGCTGGGTTGCCAAGTGTTTCTGAAATCCAAGTATTCAGTAAGTTACACCAGATGGTCAATAGTTTCTTATGAAGTAGACTTCTACGTTCGATGATTTAGCCCAAAGGAGGGCTAATATAAGTGTTCTGGGTAGATATAAGGCAGGCTTTTCAACTTACTGTAAGTTTATCAGGATGTAACCCTATTGTAGTTGAAGAAATCTGTACTGGTTTAATGGGTTCAATGAGCATTGAGATGAGTGTTTGATAACTTGGAACCTAAAGTCTTTTATAAAACTCTGTTTTCCTAATCTCCTAGTATTCATGACCATTTGCAGGCATCCTGCAAAAATTTTTTTTTTTTTTTTTTTTTTTTTTTTGCTGATAGGAAGGCAGTAAAGCAAGGGGTTACAGGGACTGGCTGTGGAGCCAGGCAGACTGTGTTTCCAATCCTGTTGGAGTTACAGACATAGCACAGAGGTCAGGGGTGGTGCCTGCCAAAGACCTGTGGAGCCTTCCCTGGGCCTACTGATGGTAGTTAATGACATGATGTTCTTACCATATTCCTGGTCAAGAAAATTGTACAACAAAAGGAATAAATACAAACCCTTAGTGGAGTCAATGCCCTAGACCCATAGACACCTGTAGACTTTTTAAAAATTTGAGACAGGGTCTTGCTACGCCACCTAGACTGGTATGAACTCCTGGGCATGAGTGATTTTCCTGTTTAGTCTTCCCACTAGCTGGGGCCACTGCTGCACATCGTTACACCTAGGGATCCATAGAGTCCTTAAGGTTGGAGGGACCCGTGAGGTCATCTAGCCCGTTGCCCTGCTGGATGCTTGATTCGTGATTACTGCAAACACTACAGGCTCTGCATGCTGAAGGCTGACCCAGATCCCCATTGTTGTTAGAGAATATCATTGTAATTACTGGAATGCTGCTAGAATATTGGCTCCAGCCCTGCATACAAAAATTGGAAGAGATTCGGCAACAAGGGCATCCAGAAGAAGGGACAGATGTGACTGAAGTGAGAAAGAGAAGGACAAAGGACAAGCAAAGAGTCAGCCAGCAGATTGGAAAAGAACAATCAAGATTTCATAATCATAGCCACAAAAAGTCCTGGGAAATTAAGTACGCAGTATGTTTATTCTATACTTTCGTGATGCTAGCCATCCCTCAGAGAGATCTCACCTTTGACTTACTCTCCTTCCACACCACTGTATGCACCACTGCAGACTGATCACCTGAGACTTGGCTCCAATCATGTTTCTTGTCTGCTTTGAATGAGACTCCCATGGTTTCTTTGTCCAACAGCAGAAAGGTAAAACTTTGCTAGTTTGGTCTTTAGGGCCTCATCTTGTATCCACCCTTCTGTACAAACTATTTGCTAGGTGGGCCCCCCACTGTCCCTGAGCAGACCACACTCTGAGTCTTTGCTCATGCCTGCTAGAACGGGAGCGTCTCTTCTCCTTCCCTGTAACCCCCATTAGTGTCTGCTGTGAGGTTGAGCACACAGTAGATGAATGCATGATGCCTTCCTTCCGGTAAGCAAACACACAGGTATAAACACACCCACATTCAGAATGCCACACGCTCCTAAGTACAGATGGAGAGCAAGAATCCCTTCCCTCCTCCCTGGTGTCTGCAAAGGACGAAGGACCTAGAGCCGAGTAAACATCCACCTGGGCTACGGTGGGCGGGGAAGTGTTAGGAAGGAAGCTCTGGTCCTTCTTCCTCCCTGGAACCAGCATCTGCTGCAAAGCCCAGCAGGGCCTGAGCACTGGCAAGACTGGCATGGAGCCCTTCTGCTTGCCGAGGAAGCGGAATGTCCCGGCAGGATGAGTCAGTGGGAGCACAGAACCAAGGAGTGAGTCACTCGGGGAGGAGAGACTACAGGTTCTTCTCTGCTCAAAGATATTTTAGGTCTTGGTAGGTTTTTCCCACTTGTCTGATTTAGATAGAAGTTTGGACATGTGACTGCAGTGGATAAGTTCTCAGATGCAATACAAAAAGCTTTCCTCTGACTGTCCAGAGTGCTGCATTCTAGAATTTGTTTTTTTTACACGGATAGGAAGGCAGTAAAGCAAGGGGTTACAGGGACTGGCTCTGGAGCCAGGCACACCGTGTTTCCAATCAGAGCGCTTCCCAGAACCAGCTGGGGACCTCGAAGGAGGTGTTGAATCTTGTGAAACCAAGTCTCTCACCAGTGTCAAAGCGAGGGTTGTCACAGGTGTCAGATAAGATCATGTATTTGTTTAATAAGAATCTGTCAGAGTCCTTCCAGTGTGTCTGGCACAGTGCTTGGTGCACAGGACAGGTCGGCAGATGCTGTAGACACTGACCTTGCATTCTGAGAAGGCTACATTTGGGGGCAGCCCCTAAGCACATGCTTCCCTGAGGACAGGAAGGGCTGAACGTGTCACAGCAGTTATGATGATCGTGGCCACCTTGCTGATTTCCTGGAAACCAGCACACCTTTTTGCACCTCCGTTTCTCTGTTAAATGTGGAGCTGAAATGAAATCATCTCAGAGAGAATGTCTGTGAGTCTCCAGTCTTTGAGCTTATCTGTAGAGTCATTGAGAGATCGTGTGGCAGGCAAATGGACGGCTGGACAAGGCAGTTCCAGGCCTTCAGTGTGACCCAGGGTAAAGGTAAAGAAGGCCACAACAGTCTGCTGTGCTAAGGTGAACTATACAGGAGAACATTTGAGTATGAGATTTTGGTTCCCAAACTTCCATTGCCTAAGCACGTGATGAGGGGAGAGCAGACTAGAAGGCAGCTCACATGAGAAAACAACGACAGGTGTTTTATTTTATTCTTGTTGTGATCAGAGCTGCCAAAAATATGATACAATTCCAAGCTTCATCTGCAGATGAATAGTAAATAGTGTACAGGCCAGGGGAAGGAAAATAAGAGTAATGATATCATAATTACCGCTTATTCTTTAATCTTCATAGTACCCCCTCAAGGTAGATAGTATGATTGTCACCACTTCAC